CTCACTCTCTCTCTCTCTCTCTCTCCCCCCTCTCGTCGACGAGACCGTCGAGTACTCCCCTGTCCATCGTCCTGCGGCCCATTCAGACACGACGGAAACGACTTTCATTAATTCTCTTTAATGGTTCCCGCGCGAATCTTCTCGTTTTTCCTCCCCCCTCTCTTTCTGTCTCTAGATTCGCTGTTTCTCGCACTCCGCGGAAGTTGACTTTAGCTCGACGGTTAAATACGATTTGGCGGGAACAGGTGAAAGAAGCCGGCAAATAATGGGGAATTTGACGAGGAACGGGGGAGGAACGAGCCGGTCGTGTTGCCACGGAGTCGCTCGAGCATCCTCCGTTTCGAAATATTTTGTTGGATGACGTTAATGAGGACGGTTTTGTTGCGTCTGCTAGTTAAATGAGGTTGAAGACAGCGCGCGGGCGAGAAAGAAGTTATATTGCAGCGTGAAACTCGACGGGAAACTCGAGGGGAGGCTCGCGTCTTGTTGGTCTCGCGTTTAGAGTCGCCTGATCGATTTTCAGATATTCCGTTAGATAATGGGTATAAAGTAACTTTTATTTCACCTAATATTCGACACGTTGACCGCCATGGTGATCGCAAATGACAGCAGAGTTCGAATAACTCGAAAACAATTGCAACGAAACTGACGCATCGAAATATATAGGTAGCTAAATAATCGTCTAACTTCAGAGCGACGATATCAAATCACTGCTAATCAATTCTAACACCATTCGCATTGACACAATAAGCACTGTCATACGTACCACTTTAAATTCCCATGTCGGTCAACATATTAAAGCCAACAAAATAAGATCACAAGACACACGCATTAACTCAGCTGATTCCCCACAATTTCCCAAATCGGAACACTTGCTCCACAAAACTTACCTATAACCAAAATTACCATACAAATGAGAGAGCAATTACCGAACATCGCAAAACTGTCCAAACGGAACAGAAAAAACGGCCCGGTCGTGTCGGTCCGCACGAAATCCTGCCACTCGAATAACTTTCAATACAAGCCGAGCGTACGACGGTAACGAGAGTGCCGCGTCCATAGCAGCAGCGCCTTACCCTCGAGACTGTTGTAACTTAGGTTTTTCGGTTAACGAAGCAACCCCCTCCAATTTGTATGCAGATCAAGTGTGAAAGCCGCGAACGATCCACGGGGAAAATTGCCAGCTATCGAGTTACGGGCCAAGAGGCGAGCTAGCCAGATTTTAGGTGGGCTATTAGCCAGGCAAACTAGGATTCTGATTAGGAGCAAGACCCCAATGCCTGGAAATAGCGTGCATTGTGTTCCCGATCCATTCACCCCCTTCGCCGCCGGTGGTGGCGTCGGCCTCCGCGAGCGGTCTGGCCCAGCATACCCTAAACCCACCCCCGCGCTGCGTCCCACACGTCCGTGATGAGCCCTTGAAGCCCCACAATGAACCGGTGTTGTAATCAAGCCGTCCTGACACAATGTGATTCTACCACGGAGAGAGCATGCGATACGAAGCCAAAGCAACTCGATCGGCGGCTGCGTTTCGGTCACTTACGAGACGCCGCGCCGCGGGGAGTCTTTAAGCCAGCGCGCTCGGAGAGTTGTCGGGCTATCGCTTTCGCGGGTCGATGGAAATTCGAATGGCCGGGATCGCTGGAATAACGCTCGCCTTCGATCGGACGCCGCGGTCGTTCGCGTGAGAGCCTCGGATTAGTGCATACTATTTGCCTTGGATTAGTGTGCACCGTTTGCCTCGGATCAGCGAAGCTCCTGGCGGCTTCGGCGCTTTCTTGTAGACAGATTCTGAATTGAACATTCTGCGCGGAAATTTACGATTTGGGAGCTGTGGAATTTTGAATGTGTTGTGACATTTGCATCTGTGATGGGAAATGTTAAAATACGCATGTGACTTTGTACGAATATCATTTATTTATATGTGAATATAGTTTTCTATTAAAGTTCCTTCGTGTTCGAGAGGTTGATATTGATCGAACTCCAAAGCTAAAATCAAATGTAAATAAAATATAATCACACTATCTCTTAAAACACTGAAGCTACCATACGGCTCAAAATGACCCGATTCAATACTCTTATTTAATTATTAAAACAATGATAATTCCTTCGTGAGAGATTTCAAAATAAATTCCTATTCGTACAATTGCAGCGAAAAATGCATCGTAACGAATCTACATTCTTGATTACACACCAAATTATAACGAACTCACTCGCGTCGTCCGGTGGTTCTAGTATTAAAACACTCGATGTTCCCGTTGACATTAATAACAGTGCATTAGCAACGATACAGCGCAACAAGCGCGAACACGGTCACCGAAATTCCAACGAAATCGTTTAATTGTATTTGCAGCTCAAACATCCGCGCACACCGCAAACGTTCGCAGTCGATCATCGGTGTTTGGGCACGGTTATCGCGTGACGCGCGCCCGACAAAATGGCGATTAGTAGCCCGGTGGTTCAACGGCCGATCGCAAGGAGGCGCGAGATCGAAATATCAATATATACAGTCGACAGTTGGACAGCTTTCAAAAACGATACGGGTATTTACCGTTGAATTAGCGGGCCGGGCTTTTCGAGAGCCTCGATATCCGCGCCGCGATGATTACCCTCGATAAATACGTGATCGATACCCGGCCGGGACACAATGGCCCCGTTCGATCCGCCCCGGCAGCTTTTTCGCGGTTCGCCCATTAAACTTGGCCGAACAGAGGACAAGTTCCGCGCATCAGTCAGCCGGGGTTCGCTTTTCTTCGGAAACGCCGGCGGGCTTCGATAATTCATCGGCGGCGACACCGGTTCCCCTGGATGCGACTCTTTTTAGACGACGATCGACGCCCGATAATACGCCGGATCGAATCAACCGGCGATTACGCGAGCCGGCTTCGCGGGATCTTTATTGGACAAGAGAATCCGTTGTCGCTCGGTCTAAGGAAGAGCTAAGACGGCGATCTTTGTTCTCTGGTTAGGATTCGGTGTTCGGTTTAACTTACAAGGAAACGACGTCGATTCGTTGCCGATTTCAATGAGCTCGTGATAAATGTAATTAACGAATCAGTCGCGAAGCAATGGATTAATGCGAAAGATTCGCGTAGCAATATAGTAGCACGCGGGACAATAAAGTCTGAAACGTAACAACGTGTAATAGTAGGTAGCATCGTTTCGAGCGCAGCTTTTCAAAAGACGTGAAAAAGAAAATTGTGAAGAGTAACGAAAAAAACGGGAAAGAATAACTGAAAGTGCCTTTGCACCCTCCAGCGCCTTTATTCGGCCGCGTTACGAGAAGACTTCTGATTTCAGGGTAGAGTGATACTTTTGATAGAGAGGCTGGCTGCCTGCGCCCCTAAGAGATTGAAACTGAAAAGAGCCCTTTCTCCCTTGTTGCAGCCTGCAACAAAACGTACTACGGCGACGTGGGGAAAACCTACGACCTGGAGATCCATCGACCGAAGCAGGATAAGGTGCCTTACTTTTGCAAGCTCACCTTCAGCGCGCCGGGCGGCGACTTGGGCGACATCGTTCAGGTGAGTCTCGCATAAATTCCTTAATAAAAAACCTCAGTGTACCGCCTCTGGTAAATTCTACTCGATCTTTTCACTTCGGAGAAAGCCGACTCAGCTTTTCCACTTGGTCTTTCAGTTAATTAGCTTCCGAGAGAACTTCGGTGATAGATCTAAGAAAGGAATATTTTCTGATTTACAGTCGAATTTGAAGTTTAATCTATAGCAATGGAGCGAAGATTGACAAATAATCAAACCTTCGGGCGAAAACAGTGAAACTAGCAAACATTCGAATAGTAACAAGATAGAATTTAGAATTGTAAGAGTATCTTAAAATTGAAATACACGTATTAAGTTCGAATACTTCGAAAGTTAGATAAACAGTATTATTTAAGCGCGTGCACATTTCATTTCAACGTCGAGTCTAGCTTGAATTTAAATAACTTCCCCTCGATTCTGGTGTGAAAGAGGAGACACGCAGTCATTTAAAAGTGTTAAATGGTCCCCGAGAATGGTTACCGTTGTCGTTCACGAGAAGAAAAAAATATTAGAAAAGAGTACAGAAACCGTTCCGCGAAAGAACGAACGGTTGGCAGAGGAACAAGAATCAACGAGGAAATTTTTAATAACGCTTATTGCCGGCCCCGACCCGGGACGGCTATCTGGGAATAGCTTCGTGCCCAAAAAGTTTCGCCGCGGATGAAAGTTTCCCGCGGGCCGGTCCACTGCCAAATTATTTATATTCCCGAAACGCCCGTTCCCGTGCGCTGTTCGTCGTGTATTTTTTCCTCCTATCAAAGTGATACGGCCAGCCTGAAACCGCAAGCGCGCGCGGCAGCCCGTTCCTCTTCGGAGTGATTATCAAAAAGAGCGGACCTGTCGATACTTTAATCGAGCTCGGGCGAAAGAAGAATGGTCCCGCTATTAATACCCGATAACTCGATCCTCGGTGAAATTTAGAATCGTTCCGCGCCGAAATAAAGAGTAAAAGAAGGAACGGACGCTTCTGTGCTGGCTGCCCGCGGCCGCCATATTGGATACGGAGCGTTTGTACAATTTCTATGGATGAAATCGATGGAATGGAAATTTAGAGCGCTTTCTACGGTCTTTGTTCCTTTCGAAGCAATCGCTGGAGAACCAAATTGTTATTAGAGTCTATTTCTAAATAATTCACTGAATCAACTCATTCTAAACGAATACGCTTTTTAAGGTTAGGTTTCCCTTGTTGATCACTGAAAGAAATGTCGATGCCAATGTTTAAACCTTGAATAAACATTGTGATTCTATGTTTAAGAAAAGAATCAAACATTTCTAAACGAGTAATTATTCAGTGATCCTTCCATTGAACAACAATCGCAAAACGAGACAAGATAGAAGCAGATGAATTAATGCAGCGACGAAACGATCGAAACGATCGCAAAACGATGAAAGATTCCCGGTCAGAAAGGTGACAGCCGTTTCTCCTGTTTCCAGTTGACGTTCGACAGCTTCACCCTGGGGAAATTCGTGTCGTTTACCGCGGAGGGCTGCCCGGACGGGTCCCTGCAAATTTCGGAGGCACAACGGCCGGACGTCGGCGGCCTATGGTGCGGAACGTCCCGGGGCCCGGCGATCTACTATAGCGAGACACCGACGGTCTCCATATCGCTGAAGCTGCTCAGGCTCAGCGAGGATCAGACGGGATTCAATTTCGACTTCCGGATGGCGTACAAGACGATTAGGAAGTCGGACGCTGTGGTGCGTTACGGGAATCCGTTCGTCGGTAGGTGTTCCAGAATCCTCCAGGATATGTCCTTTCTCTGCTGCCGATGGGACGTTATGGAACTTTCTCTATGGAGAAAGGAATACTTCTTTATTTTCTTAGACAAAGAATTTGTGTTTTAAAATAGTGGAAACTGTTGATTTCTTTATTTGTTTGAGAGAGATGGAGGTTTTGTTGTAAAATAGTAGGATATGTTGGGATTCTTTAATTTTTTTATATAGAAATGGCGTTTCCATTGTAAACTGAATAGCTTTATTTCAATGATAACGTTCCGAGTGGATAGTTCAGGGAAAGATGAAACATTGCTGTAGGAAAGTTTGATTATTTATGGAGATTCTTAGATGCGCAAAGTTTAGATGCTAATGACGATAATTTGATTCGTCCGGGATGGATTTGGCAAGTCAGGAACACATTAGGAACTTTGCGCGTCCCATCGACAGCCATTTTAAGGGAAACTTCGGTGAAACAAGATGGCGGCTCGGTGGAGCGCGATCGATTTCTCATTAGTCCACCTTGTTTGCCTCAGTTTTTCAAAGTAAAAACTCGCGATAAATTCCTGCGGCTTTAAATCAGCCTGCCGTGCTCCATTTTTCCTTCTTCCTCTAATAAATAATTCAACGTTGGACCATAGATGTTATATGAAGTAAAGTTTATCCGGGTTAACCCGTAAAAGTAGACTTGTAACTTCTGTACCTCGCAGTATATCATAGCCAATTAACTTCTTATTTTTCTACCTTTCCCTCGTCACGATCGTATTAAAGAGTTATCCGAATTCGAATTTTTCACTGTTCCAAAATTACAACTTCCAATTCGTTCTCTAAGCTTCTCCCAAAGTTCATTACACGTCGAACTGTTATTATTAAAGACTTTTGTACCATTTCTATCACGATATTAACACAATAATTATCGCGAACAAGCAAACGTTTCAAATTTCTGCCAAATCAATTCCTTTCCACCCTTCGCTAAATAATATCAGCACACCAACTGTCGCAAGTAATTAAATACATTTCAAATTTCTGTCAAATTAATGTTTCCACCCCTCACAAAACATCAACCCAATAACTGCCGCGAGTAAATATATTTCAAATGTCCACCAAATCAAAGTCCCTACTTTCCTTCAGAAAACAATATCAACACACCGAGTGTCGCAAATAATAATCAAACGTACTTCAAACTTCCACCGAACCAAAGTTCCTAATTTCCTTTATTAAACGACATCCACTCGCTAGTCGTAGCAAATAACTAAACGCACAAATCAAAGTTCCTACTTTCCTTTAGAAAACAATATCAACACACCGAGTGTCGCAAATAATGATCAAACATACTTCAAACTTCCACCGAATCAAAGTTCCTAATTTCCTATATTAAACGACATCCATTAGCTAATTGTAGCAAATAACTAAACACATTTGAAATTTCCGTGCAAGGTGTATTGTACGCGTCAGGGACGCCCACGCCGACAGACGCAACGACGATCCCCTCGCCGAGCGAGTACGCTAACAGCTCGATGGCGATGCCCGTGCAAATGGTGGAGCAGCCGTCGGCCAGCGCGAAACCCGGCGTCGAGCAGTTCCTCGGCGACCTGATCTCTGGGACCTATTGCTCCCGAATATTCAGCGACTGCGACCGGAAGAAGTGCAGGCTGCAGTCGCCGAACTTTCCCGGATTGTACCCGCGCAATCTCACCTGCTACTACGCGGTAAGTCCCACGGGAGAAGGGGATCCGAAACTTTCCCCGGCCGACCGCCATAAATACGGAACACATCGCGGCGGGATATAACCGCGATACTTTGGAATTTTCGTCGGAATTCTTCGGCTTTGCCTCTCGACAACAATGCATAGTATATTATGCGGTCGGCTTACGATGAAAATCAAGTTTCCCCGTGGATCTTGAAGCGCTCGTGCTCGATGCACTGGCTTTTCGCTGTAGACTCCTCGCAGTTGCGGAGAAACGTCGATGAACTTACGATAATCCTGGAAATTCTGCTTTAGAAATATTCACTCTTCAAACTCGAGATCTTAAACTGCTTCTTGCGAAAATTCTGATTGAACAGTTATAGAATCGAAGGAGAAAGAAACTAAACAAGATTGCGCACGTCTTTATCTTTCTACGTGCTCCCCTTGTATTTACAATTTAAAATTGATCGCTGAATACGTCTTCGTGAAGGAAGCTAGTAATACAAACCTTCCGAAAATCAGCTCGTTCTTCAACCGCTCCCCGTCTCAATGAAATACGACACGATTATACATAAACGACGCTATCGGTATCTACGTCGTAACGGAAATCCCCGAAAGAATCGTACAGATCCCTTCCGGAGATAGGGATCGCGATATCGTCGAAAAACAGGCGCCGTCCCCGGGAATCGTCAATTCGGCGAGATCCAATGATAGAATTAAATTTCCCGTCGCGCGCGGCAGGTAGCCCATGCGTCTCGAAAGGGAATCGCGGCAAATTGAACGGTCGTATCGAAGCGTTAGGGTAAACGGACGGCGCCGGGGGCCGAACGGCGCTAGCATTCCGGGGGAAATTTACGAGGCAACGTTGCGTCGCGATGGCGGGCCGCGCGAACCATTATTCTCGTGGCCGGACGGCCCGGTAACCGGCCGTTCGCAGCTAAATACACTTCGCTGTCGGTGGAAACGTCGCGATTCCACGCGCCGTGGCACGTGGGAGCCGTTCCGCGCGCGAATTTCGACGAATTCGACGGAGACTCTGTTGTTCCGGAAGATTGAAGACTTCTCGGTTGTTGGCGGAACGATGTGGATGAACGGCGAGCGATCAGTCAACCGAGGAATATTGATTGTTCCTTTGTTGTTCGATTTTCTTGGGGATTATTGTTGAAATAACAGTCGTTCATAGGAAACACTGTATTAGAGGATATCGGAGTGTCACCTTTATATGCGCAATGGACGATCGTGAAAAGGTAAATTGAGGACGACGCATTTCATCTGAAGAGTGCCGTTCGTATTTTTGCATGATTATTGACTGCTGCTAATTTTTTAACAGTAAGGTCCTGGTATATCATTTCTTTTCGTCTACGTTCAGTTTTGTCTTTATTAAATATGTAAGTTACCATTTTTCACTGTTTCGTAGTCATCATTAGGAAATGCTCGTATTCTCAACGATGATGACTGATTCATTTTAAGCAAATTTCAGAGGTAACATTGGAGCTGAGTTAAATTTCATTATGTTCCGGAGGTAAAATGTCGACGATAGAGAAACATTCTCTCTCTTCGCTATGTTTCGATAATATATTGTCCTTAATTTCGATTCAAAGTTTGATATTTCAAGAGTGCCTATTAGAAATAGAATCCGACGACTCCGGCGAATGTGCGCCGAGTAAATTTTCGTTAAACTGAATCTGATTCGGTGCGCATTCGCTAATGGAACGCCGTCGAATTGATTTCGAGCAGGTACTCTCGAAACTTCGAGCTTTAAACGAAAGGCAAGAACAATAAATTTTCGGTGAATTAAACTGGAAGCTTTCGCGAGTGTGATTCGTCGTTTATATGATACCGGCTCAAGAATTCCGAAGCGAGGCTAGCCGGAATTATCGCGGTGAAACACAAAGGAGGCTAAGAGTAGATCCGCGGCGGCGTTCCGTCAAACTTTAGCGAAACGAAAGAGACACGTCCGATTCGTTCGTCGAGCCCACGGCCCGTCCCCGCCATTATGGGACCTTTGATCGAGAAATAATTCGATTCGCCACGCTCCCGTGAGCCCCGTGAAATTGGCTCGGTCGTTCCCCGGCCGGAGAATGCACCGATGAATTCGCTTTACGACAATTAACTCCTGAATATCGTTTCTCCTTTTTTTTCCTTCTCTCCGGCTCCCCCTCATAATTTCTGGTGAACACCGTTGCGCCACAAAGCGGATCCGCAATTTGCATCGGAGCAACTGGGAAGCTCACGGCTGCCCGCTCCGCTTCGCCCCGGCGAATTGCCTCGTAATATTATCATTATTATTATTGGATTGACCCGTAATTTCGCGCGGATGTTTGCCAAGTTGCCGTTTGATTGCTAATACCAGTCGGATGGCTAATTTCCGTAAGACGAATTTGCGCCGGTGTTTGAACGCGAATTGCGGGAATATTTTATAATCCCTCGCTTTACGATCTCGCCCGTAATTGCTGCGGAAAATGGCCCTCGGTAATTAAGAACTAGTTACAATTGATTAGAGAACGATCGGTCGTTGCGGAATTAAATACTCGAACGAGAAATATGATTTTTCAATCGGATGTTAGATTAGATTTGATATCGTTAGGTTATTAGGTTATTAAATTGATTATATTATTGTACTATTAGATATTGTTAAGTTGTTAGATTATCAGAATTAGACTAAATAAAACCAAGCAACGAGAAGAGGGAAACAGAAGAAAGAGACATTGATCCGAAACGCGAACGGATTCCCGATTTTTCCTTAGAAATACAATTTTATGCAAACAGTGGAATATTCCAACGCGAGGAAGTGTGCTTTCGACGCGGTATTACGTGACCGAGGAGATTATTAAGCGAAAAGGCGGAGAATTATTATCGAAACGGGAAGACACGGAGCAATTCCGAGCGCGCGATACAGCGACTCGGTTTCATTTAGCTGCTGCGTGTGTTGCAGGTGAGGCAGCACGATATACCGGCGGGAAAACACGCCTTAATTTCGGTGAAGCAGCCTCGGGGCCAATTGGTGGCTATAAGGGCACGGCCGGCTACTCAGGCGGAGTCTTCGCCGCGCGAGCTTCGCCTTTGGAAGGATTGCGACTTGGTCCAGGTACGTGGAAATTAGATGAAGGCTGCGCCAACCACGTAAGAAACATAAGAAAAGTCAAATAAACGTCGCACTGCTCATTACTTTGCGTGATAATTCAATTGACCAAGAGGTTCTTCAAATGTGCGCTATGGTGATGACTGGAAAAATCAAAATTTTCCGAAGTAATCTAAGGAATAAGGGCCAAATTAATATTCGTTCTGCTAAAATCCAATTTAAAGATTTCACGATCTTCTCTTGGAATGAAACCATAGAAATCTGAAATTCTAATTAAAATTTGCTAATATACGTGATTTGCTATATACGCGACGATCGACGTTAGAAAAGTAATGACCATAGTATTAGTAATTAGTAACGACAAACGAGTGATACATCAAACGCATAAGATTCCCGCGTTAAATCACGAGTTCGGCCAGCAAGAAGCATCCTCGCATATTTACCGATCCTGCGTCGGGTCAGAAGGGCAACTAAATTCGGATCGCGCAGGATGAGGGCCGCCGCCGTGTGCTCCACGGCGATAAGACCGATTTATTGGCGGGCCACGGAGCCGCGCCGGTTAACGCGGATAACGCGGGAAACGTGCGGGTAGTTCGTAAAACAGAATGGCTGAAATTCCGCGGGATCTTTATAGGATTGGAAATCAACGGCGCCTCGATAAATATGCGTCCCCGGTTTACTTTACGAGGGAGTTCCTTTGCGGCCGCTCGTGTGAACCCCTCCGGTAATGCACCGGGAGGCGCCATATTGAGTGCCGTGCACGTGGCACTTTTAACAGCCTCGTTTACATAGAACCATCACCGAATCGTCTGTAAAGTGAACAGAAATTTAACCAGCTAACTGGAACGTTTCTTATTGCATAGAATATAACAATCGACATTCACTTATTAAACTGTCGAATAAAGATCAAAAGTGTCGCGTCAGTTGACACAGCGGCCATATTGTCGCGGGAGTCCATATTTGCCGAGAGCCCGTCCCAGCCACTTCAAACATATCGTTAACCGTTGATGTTCGTCAAATTTGAGTCGTAATTCACGAAGCGAGATAATCCGCCCGTCCGAGGTTCGAATAACTGTTGAAAAGAGGAATTCCTGGCCCGCAGGACTACGTGACCGTGTACGACGGTTACACGACCAGGGATCCGGTGATCCTGAAATTCTGCGGGGGCGGGGAGCCAGTGCCGGAAGCGACCAGCAGCGGCACAGAGATCCTCGTCGAGTTCACTACATCTCCTTACGGCACGTTCCTGCACCCCACGCCTCCGCACTCGCTCCACGGCTTTCAATTAGAAGTGCAAGTACGTGGTAATTCTCTTCAAACATTCAGTGAGCGAGCGAGAGAACTAGCGCCGTAGAGTGAGTATAGCCGAGGAGGGAGATAGAGAGAGAGGATTGGAGAACAGTGTGCTTTACACCTTGCTCGGGTAAAGTACGGCCTGTTCACGGATCGCATTTAAATGGATAGCTCGGGCGCCGCGGCCATTTTTCAGAGGGAACGGGCAACATCCTAGCGTCCGTGTAATACCTCTCACCGCGCTGTGGAAGCTTCTCTTTAACGTCCGTCCGGCTATTCCGGTATTTAAGAATCGTTGTTCTTTTCAATTCCGACGCGCTGAGACGGAAGGAACGTCGGGAACGAATGGAGGAGGAATTTGATCGAAAGCGATCCTTCTGGTTCTTTGTTGAATTCAATTCTGCAACGATTTGCAGTAATACTTTTCTTATGTGTTGGAAAAAAGGGAATTGGGTTATTCTTAAATTAGATTTAAATCTATAGTAGTATTCGGAATTTTTCGTTTGAATGTTTCAAATTGTAAATATAGAAGCTTCAAATTTCTAATTACAAATATAGAAGTCTGAAGTGTCAAACTTAGGGGTTCCAAATATCAAACTTGAAAGTTTCAAATCTGAAATGTAGACGTTTCAAATGTCAACTTGGCAATTTCAAATATGCAAGTTTCAAAGCTTCAAATTTTAAAGTAGAACGTCCAAATTTCAAACATACAAGTTTCAAATATCAAAATAAAAATCATTCAAATTTCAAACACACAAGTTTCAAATTTCAAACCTCGAACTTCCAAACGTCAAACATCAAACACCCATCTTCCAAATTCAGAAATCTCCAAATCATCGCTAAAAGCTTCCAAACTCACAATCCCCAATAAAGTCAAATTCCACCCTCACAAGTGCACCATCGATAAACGAACGCAGCCTAACGCAAACGTTTCCTCCGCCTCGCACAGGTGAAATTCGTGGACGCAGACTCGCCGACGTACGCGAAGAACAAGCACTGCGAGTTCTGGTTGCAAGGGAACGGCGGCGGAGTGTTGGCCTCCCCCAGACACTCTCTCCCGAGGAACAGCACGTGCCTGTACCATCTTCGCGGCGCAGGGCCCGCGATGCCCAGCCCCACGCCGCCTCGACCTTTGCCCAAGTTTCCGGAGCAGCGGCCGGGGACCGTGTGGCGGAGGCCCGCGCCGCGGCCGCAGCAGCCGCAGTTCCGCGTGTGGCTGTCCATTTTGAAGTTCCACGTGGGCACCAGCCTGTCCAGCACCGACGAGGACTGCTCGACGACGCTGATGGTGTGGGACGGCGAGATGATGCCGCTGTCCGAGTGTAACGACCTCGCCTGGTCCGTTGAACCGCCTTTGATTAATTGCTCGGCTTACGGCCAGCCGTTTGCCGCACGTCAACAGACTTATTCCCTTTACCTGGTCGTCGATGGCTACAGCTCGATCGCTCTGATGACTTTCATTTATCTTGACATCTTGTTTTGCTGGGCTTCCCTTTAGTAGAATGTCATTTTTCTTCTTTGCTACTTTGCTTTTCATAACCGAGAGTTTTATCCGGGCAGCTTGGGAAGATTGATTTTGATGCTTAGAGTTTTATAGATTCTACAGATTTTGGGGACGTTGTGTATCTAGCGAAAGAAATAGATTTGCTATAAGAGTGTGGAACACGAAAATTATCTTGGGGTGGGTTTATCAGAAGAGAGGAATAAGGAATTCATAGATACATTCGTCAAGTTATTATTCCTAAGACAAAATGCAGAATTTTATTATACTATATTATATAGTTATATGATAAGTTTCTCGATATGAAATTTCGATGGAGAACTTATCAGAGTACAATTAAGTAATTCAAATTTTAAGTTCCATTATATTATCTTTCCATTAGAAATATTTCTAGTAGAATCTCTAGAATTCAAAGCTTCGGTAATTATACGACGTCTGTTTTATTCGCCGAATCATTAATAATAAAATTAGCATCCTTCCTCGTCTTGAATTACGAAAAAAGGATCCCGTGACAAGGGGTTAACAGCTCCGCCATGTAACCTATCCTCTGTAACAGCGAGAAAGATCAACAAAGACGCGGAGACAAGACGAACGAGCCCTCGAGACCCTTGGTGGGTCGCCCCGCCGGCAACACGACCCTTCTGGCCCGTTACTGCAAGGACAAAGTGCCGAGGACCTGCGACCACGCGATCCTGCAGAACAGCAGCCGGCCGTGTTCCCTCGTCGAGAGCTTCGTTTCCAGCGGGAACACGCTGACCATTGAAATGCGGATGGTAGAGTCGACTGCTCTCAGGCGAGTGTAACGTGGATTCGGTGGAACGACACCGGATTCGAATACTGAACGCGACAATTAACCCTTTGCACTCGAGAGGTGACACTCGGTCACCGCTTGATTTGATGCAGGGAAACTATGAAGTTGAATATTTAGTATTTTAAATGAAACTTTGCATTGCTGTGTGAAATATTTAAGTAACACAGCTTTGTTGCTTAATTTATCTGTGAGTTATCGTTAAATTAGTTTCAAACAATGTCGTCTATATCTCGTCAAAATGTTGAATATTTCCGGTAAAGATCTTTCGAGTGCAGAGGGTTAACCCTTAACGGTCGACGGGTTTCTGTTGACTCTTCGCGAACGAGACTGTCTGAGACTTGTAACGTTTCTTTCCGTAACGAAGGGAATTATACATCGAAGTTTTAGGTACTAAGAAAAGAAAACTGCATGTCAGTTGAATAACTAAAGTGTACGTTTGCAGTTTTCGAAGCTTCTAACGTTTCTTTTCGTAACGAAGTAAATTATACATCGAAGTCTTAGGTACTAAAAAAAGAATACTACATATCAATCTCTTGTTAGTGAAATAATGAAAATACTCATTGGCAGTTCTCTATCTAGATATCAAGGGTGAACTGCAAAGGGTTAACACTAGAACCACGAAGTTTCCACTGTCAATTTCCACCCCATAAAACAAACGTATTCTAATTCCACTACAAACAAGTATTACACAATCCTCGAAACCTCCCCCATTACCTCCCACGATTTCCCTGCATACTCCACGTGGATTCCGAAATTATGCCGAAAACGTCAGGAGTACGTTCGAACACCGAATTTGTAATCGATCGAACGAGTGAATGGAGCGGCGAATTAATTTCAAGTAGAATAACATAGGGGGCAGAGGAAAGGAAAAGTCGGGGCGAAGAGAAAGCAGATTCCGTTTCAATTACGGCGCGCGGGGATGGCCGTTCGCGTGCCGCGTTTCATTCGGGCTCGCATTTCACGGGGAAACGCGCTCTCGCGGTCCCGGCATATCGATCGCCGGCTCGTATCACGTTTTCTCCCGGGCGGAAATGTAAAGAGACCTTATGCCAGGAGTATCGCGGCCGGGAAACGAGCTTTTATTGCTTGCCGGGGCGGCGGTTCATCGTTAATGGGCAAAGAAAATAGTATTGCCCACCGGTGGGCTGATTAATGCCACGGGCGATCTGATCGCGCTTTAATCTCGGCGGTTTTTAATGCACCGACATCCGAGTAAGTTGTGGGAACATGGTTTCGTAAGTTGATACGCCGATGGATTAACGATAACGAAGATCGACGGTATTCGCCGGGACGGGGATTAATTGGACGACGCTTTATTACGATACAAAGAGGTTTCGGTGTTCGCGTTTGTTCAATGGGGAAACGTTGATCGCGAATCTCTTTGGTAAAAATTATACTAATTAATCTTGTGAATCTGGAAATATTGGAATTAGAGCATTGAAATTACGTGATTGAATATCGGATTAACAAACGTGTTAGTCACTTTGAATATCAAATGATTATCGAATTATAATAACGAGATTGGATTTATTAATAATTTATAATAACGAGATTGGATTAACTATTGATCTATTTTAACGGAATTAGACTTTCTAATAATAACACTGAAATCAGATTCACTAGTAATCATAAACCCGCGGAAACTGATCGCATAAGATTCCTAACGGACAATCGAAATACTGCGGGAACAGTACGAATTACTCGGACGTAACTGTGAAATATAACCAAAACCTGTAACAAGCGCGCTAATTAGTATTCCTCGATCCTTCTCATGAATATTCCTCTCGCCGGCAGTAATGCGAACGGAATTGTAATACCTGAAGCGTTCCAGCCCCCGTCGCCGGTGTCGTCGTGGATTTTTTCCATTCCCCGGGAAAAAGGGAGGTTTCCCGATCAAGAAATAATTACCGGACGATAGGGGTTGGTAAAGGCAAGGCAAGGCAAGGGACAGGACAGGTCGCGTCAGGTGGAAAGGATTAAGTAGACCGTGCTACGCGTCCGCGTTCCGTGTGCTCCCGTGCCCGGCGTCACGCTTGAACACGCGTTACCCGGGTAAATAATAAGAATAATAATAAAAAAAAATGTAAATAACCTGCACGGGGGGTGAAGGAACGCGACCGAGCCGGTGGGATAATTACGGGAACATCGAACGCGCGCCGGTACGCGTTCGTTGGACGGTTAATTACCCGCCGGCATTCTTGTCCCGATGTAACTTTGTCATCCGCCGTATTTAAAGCTCCGTTCGTTTTATTTCGTTTGCATAAAGCTCCTTCTATATTATCGTCGTAGAGTCTGCTGCATGACCGACGATTTTTATAAGACTTTCACGACGCGTTCGATAATGTCCCTCCCTTTCTCGCCATTTTGCAGAGTTCCTTCGAAGAAGCGCGTCGGTCATGGAGATTTTCTTAAGAGGATTTTCCTAGAGACGTTCCACGTTTATTCTAATTAATTCACGATTGACAATAGAAAAGTAATCAATTTGTATCTAGAAACAAACATTTGGATATCTGACATGCGGTTGAAAACTTGCGTCGCGAGTCGCGACATTATAGGTCAAGGGGTTGATACGGTTGATTCGCTCTGAAGAGAATAAAACTTACAAGTAGTTCATCTTGATAAGATCAATATCGACAGAAATGGCTACGCTGCTCGAAAACAAATCTCAGACGTCGTTCGAGCGAGAGTTAACCGAAATCAAGGTCGAATGGAGAACGAGACAGGAGTCCCGCGAAGTTCGGCGGTTGTTATTTCCCGTTTAAAGCGTCGGTGCCGCGGTATTCCCGTGACTTCCGCTTTGCCGCTCGGTGTACGGAAAAATCGCTTCTTATAAATAACTGATATCAGTCGCGGAAAGGGGCGGAAGGGCGAAGGGAAGCGCCAGGCGGAACGAAAACGTGCAAGTGCGGCAGATATTGCGCTACGCCGCCATAAAACCCTTCGCATTCTTCGCGTGTAACGTTCTGTATCGATTCCGCGAGGAACGGTCTCGCGAGCAAATTTCGTCAGAATTTATATTCAATTCCTCTGCCCTGGCCCCTGTTGCATTATTGAATTTCGGAGGGAACGGTTGTACATTCCGTTTATGCGCTTGATAAACAGCGCGGGATTATCGAGCAATAGTTTTAATCTCTCCGCGGTGAATTAAGCAACGCGAAAGTGTCAAAATACGACCGATCGGCTTTGTCTCACTGGAGACCGTATTGTAACGAAGTTAGGGACCACAGAATTCGGAGGATTTCGAATGTTCAATGTGATATATTTTGTTTTATTCATTTTCTGATGTAATTTCGAACATAATTCATTGAAATCGTTTTGCGAGAGGAATTGTCTGTTCCCGGGAGATCGACGGAACACCTGGAGCATTGTAATAATTAATCATTCCGAAATTGCATACACATGTACGGTATACTGATCGCCGTCTGTTAATAATAATAATAATTGCGAAATCACCGAATTCGTCCGCGCCATGGCAATTCCAATTAATAGTTTTGCGAGCGCCCGAACATTTGCAAACACACAAATTAATATTAATAATTATCACGGAATCGCTTGACAAAATACCCGCTGGAATTACTATTGATAGTTACGGAATCCATTAAGCATCCGCGACACGGTGATTACTATTAATAATTCCAAAATCCGTGAATCATCCGCGGCACGATACTGTTATCAATTCCAAAAACAGAGTGGAATCCCATACGGGGAAAGTTGAAGCGTAACGCGAGCGTGTCGCATTTTACGAGAGAGCCGTCGCAATATTTGACCGTACAGTGAACATTGGATAGTTGCAACACTCGACAGAACTAGAAGGTTGAAATTACGAAGAGGTAGAATCGAATTCACCCGGAGAAACGAGGAAAATGACTGAAAATCGAAGCGTTCGGCGAAAATCAAATTTCTCTCCCGACTTTTCACGAATGAAACCTTCGCCATCACTTTCGTTATGCTTCTCCGATTGAAACGACACCAAACACGATAGAATTACGATCACAATTGATCGTAAAATCGTTGAATTCTACAATAATCGAATTTACACCCTTCAATCGTAGCCGGTCGCCGAACACGATAACGTATTAACCTCTCGTATTGTAAATTAATTCGAAGACTCGCTGATGTCTTGCGCGAAGAATGTTTTCACCTATTTTACGCAGATATGTACGCCAACTCAATTTACTAATAATTTGTATAGAGCGATACATGTCAAAACAATCTATTACGCAACGAGACTATCGACGTCTATAAAAGGTCGTTAATAATTTTGCAACAAAAACATCTGCGCGCGGTATTAGGTCTTCCTAGCGCAAGTAGTTAACACTAGAACTACTGTATCAGTCAAAATGACTGATTTCGATTGTGTTTCACAATTATTGATATCTTAAAAGCATTGAATATCTGAAATGATCTTGAAAATAAATAGCTTCACTTGAATACTATAATGACTGTTTGAAGAAACCGAAAATAATTCATTGTTACAATTTTTATAGGAATTACATAGGGGTAGTTCTAGTGTTGAAAGGAGCCTATCGAGGATGCGGCGGCGATGACGAAGTTGCAATTACGAAGAAGTTCCCGTTGTTGCGATAATCCAATGTTCGGTGTAACGCGAATCCGCGGTGTAACGCGAGTACGTGCTCGCTTATCTTGTTATTCACGGGCCGCCTGTAAATCATTCCGTCCTCCGGACAGACTTAACAAGCCCGCGGAACGGCACTGAACGATTACCATGAAGAACGCCCGTTTGTCCCGCAGGCCGGTGAATTTCCGCGCCCTGTACGAGTTCGTCGATCTCCATCAGGACGGGGATCCATACGGCACCGGGCCCTGCTCGAGGATTTTCTACAGCCGTAACCGGGATCACTACCCGGACCGTAGATTCCAGGCGCCGCGCGATATTTTCCTTTACGGCCGGGGCGGTTCGAAGAACATCAGGTGAGACCGTTTCCCCAGATATTTTTTCCATCAGCCGCTGCTGCACCGGCATCAGACTCTCGACCGGATGGTTCTATCGTCACCCTTCGGTTTTCTTATTCGACCCGTGAATCGCGCGGAAAAATGGAGAGACATCGGGGGATGATGAAATTGTACTGCGAACTCTAAGCTTCGGGGGTTGAGCTTGGAATCGTATTCGTTCCGTTTCTTTATACTGCCGCGGAATAGAGTAAAATGGAAGATTTGTAGCGAGAGTAAAATGAAATTCGAGAATTTAAACTTTACGGTAACGGTAGTAGATCTTTATCACATTTTTGCGATGAGCGATGGAATATGGTAATAATCGTTGTTCTTTTTGTTTCTTTAATATTTCCGATAACTAAATATGCGAGGAAACAGGCTACCGTCGTGGTTATCGTCTAGAATCCTGCATACGGAGAGCAAGGAGAAAAGATGGACGTTAAATTAAGAATGACGGGTCAAAGGAACACAGTAAAAATTTGTCTGCCGTCCCGATTACCGCGCAGCGATTCAATCCGCCGCGAAAGGGGCGTTGGGACAGTAGTCCAAACTACTCGGAGCATCCCCGAGGAAAATAAAAGAATCCAACGGGGACAAACTCGTCCGCCGGGCGCTTTAACGCTGGCCCTTTATGCGCGAGCGATTCCGCGATTTCGAATGAGACGCGCTCGCGTCAGCAGCGTCCCTTTGTTCGGCCAGCAGAGCGATAACGCCCCGTAAATAGTTCCTTT